CTGGCCCCCCCCTCGCGTTCCCGCTGGTCGGCCACGTGAAGCGCCACGTGGTGCTTCGGCAGGGTGCTCGCTGTGCCGCGCGCCTCTTCGCGCTGTCGAAGGTGCTCGGCGTGGGCTCGCCGCGACTGCGCAGCCCCTTCGCGCGAGCCAGCGCGCCCCTGCTTTGCCGCGCGCATCAAGTCCAGCGTCGCGCGCGCAGCCTGGAACGAGGCCGCCTGATCGTCGAGCGCCGCGCCGAGAAGGTGCAGCCCCGCGAAATGCCGGGGAGGAGGGCGAGGAGGACACGGGGGGGAGAGGGGATGAGGGAGGGGGAGGAGGAGGGGGATGGGGGGGGAGGTTGAGAAAGAGGAGGAGGGGGAGAGGAGGACGAGGGGCAGTTAGCCTGGGAAGCGCATACATGCCAAGGAGCTCTGACGCAGAGGTCCGCATCTTGTCCTCCTTCGGGGCACGGCGCTCGTCGAGTATATTGCGCAAATCTTTCGGCTTCGCTCTCCCATGTGCAGGGAACAGCCACCCGTCCTTCATGCACTCTCGGAGATCCTCGAATGTGACGTCCAGCCCCTCCCCGCACGCCTGCGCCAGCAAGACAACTTCTGCGGTGACTACTCCATCTTGCAATGTCGCGTGGCCCAAATCGATGACAGCGCTGTTCGCTACGTCCACATGGCGGCGCAATTCAGGGCCCAGCAGGGCGCCGTGGGGCGCGAACTTGAGTCCGCACGTCACTTGCAGTTTCTCGAAGCGGTCCTTTGTCATATCCCCTGCAGTCCACCGAGCGCGCGCCGCGCTGACAATATCAGAAGCAGCGAACGCATCTGCACTGGCGCGCAGTGTGGACCGCGTCGGATCTGCACAAGAAACTTCAACGAATCTTGCTGGGTCCAACTCAGCCGTGCCTTAGTTTTTCTTGCGCGCGTTGCAACGTCGCAAGAACGGCCTGGAGCCGTCGGCGCCGTTGCTGTTCACCGACATGCGGTGGCCATCGAGATCGGCGATCGTGAACCCGATGCGTGCGAAGATGAGAATGTCCGCGCCGACGACAGCAATAGGGGCGCCTGCCGTCGCAAGGCCAGTCGGAGACAGCAGGTGCAGCTTCATGTACTTGCCAAACGTGGCGCCCCAGCCGCCCCGGGCCTGCTTGAACCAGCTGTGGCGAGCAACCGCGGGTGTGAAACACGCGCTGTCACTGCGAATGTTGCGCGCCCCAAGCTGCAGGAACGCGAGCGATCAGTTCATGCTCTTCCTGCCGTCGCCGACGTTGAACACGCCGCCAGGGCTGGGCTCGCCATGCCCGATAACCAGCGCCCGCGGGCGCTCCTGGCTCGGAGCACAGCATCGCCGCAGCGCGGCCGCGAACAATTCTTGCAGCGCCCCGCCCCCTGATACCATCTTTAAGAGTAGCCTGTTGGGCCCCGCCAGGGGCCAGTTCCAGCTTCCGCCGCTCGCTGGCGGAATGGTCAAGTCGTGGCGGGCGCGCTCGAACCGTTCGTGGTTCGTCCTCATGGCCGCATTCCTCGCCATCTTAAGATTGGCGGGTAAGTCCGCCGCCACCTCGCGAATCGTCTTCAGCATCTGCGCGAGCCCCCCCTGCGCCGCGCGTCCTCGATGGAGGCGCTCTCGCAGCGCATCTCGCCCCCGACGAACCCTGGGGGGGGGGGGGGGGCCTCGATCGAGAGCGACGACGATATCCTTTCGGCGCCACGCCGCTAAGGCGCATGCGCTGCGGCGCTGGAAGGCCGCGCCGCCGCGCCCTTCGCGCGGCGTTGGAGCGCAAACGCTTGAGCCAGGAAACGGCTGCGGACGGGAACGGCGCGAGGCGCTGAATGCGGCAGGAGCAAGCGCTGCGCGGGGGGGGGGCAGCCCAAACGCTGGAGGAGCAGCGCAGAGCGCTGGAGGAGGGAGGGGCAGCGCACGCGCTGGCCGGGGAACAGCGCTTGGGGAGGGGCAGCGCAAGTGCTGGGGGGGGAGAAGCAGCGCGAAGCGCTGGGGGAGGGAGAGGCAGCGCAAGCGCCGGCGGGGGAAAAGCGCCAGGGCTGGACGGGGAGAGGAGCAGCGCAAAGCGCTGGAGGGGGGGGGAGCAGCGCAAAGCGCTGGAAGGGGGGAAGGAGCAGCGCAAGCGCTTGTGGGGGAACAGCGCAAGCGCTGGGGGGGAGGAGCAACGCAAAGCACTGGAGGGGGGGGGGAGCAGCGCAAAGCGCTGGATAGTGCCAGTAGCGCTGGTGGGGGAACAGCGCAAGCGTTGGGGGATAGGGCAGCGCAAAGCAGAGCAGCGCAAAGCGCTGGATAGTGCCAAAAACATAAAAACATGAAACGCTGGCAGCGCAAAGCGATCGAGAGAACAATAACATCAATACAACGCTATGGGGGGCAAACATAACGCATTTTTTAATGTTTAAACGACACTCGATGATCGCATCGCATTTTTTGTCTTAAAAAAGTTGAAAAAGTAAGAAACACACCGGCAACTAACTAGAACGCAACTTCCACAATTAGAACCAGTCCAAAACCTAACTTCCCCGTAATTTACACGCTGTAAAAGAAAAAACGCTTCAACCACAAAAAATAACTTACGTACCTTGCACAAGTTGCACCGTGCAAGTTATGTAAGATCTGGAAGATTTGGAATATCAAGTTAAGATCTGGGAGATCAACTTAAAATCTGGAAGATCAAGTTAACATGGTCGACCACAACTTCCCCACAACTACCAGAACTAGTTGTGGGCATTTCAAAAGGGAGAAGGCCGCCCTTCGAGTCAATTACGACGTCAATTTGAAGTGGGAAGGGGGCGACGGCGACGACCGTTAAAGAAAACGCAGGACACGGCGACGGCGACGTCGCGCAACAACCATGAGCAACAGCACCGGGGTGGGATAGCGAGAGGGGGCAATGTGACCACGACGAACAGCGCATTCCTCACGCCGACCAACCAGGTCGGCGGATTTGCGGGTCAAAACAACGGAAAGAGGCCACGTCCTTCTATGATTCGATCCAACTCCCATCTCCATGGTTTCTCTTTGAGTAGGGCTTGCAGCTTACTACATCATGGTCAATCCCGTACGTTGCTCTGTCGACAGCGTTTGCTCGTGTGTTCTCACCTTGCTCTTCATTGCTTGTTCCGTCGGCCGTGTTTTTGTTGCGAACGGGTCGTTTCTGATGCAGGGCAGTTGCGCGGTATTGCATCGCGTTTTCAATTGATTGCATTGCGCCTTATTTTCGCACTATTTGCGGCATTACACTCATGATCTTTTTGCGCCATGTCGTGGTGCGGTCCGCTCGTGCTCCTCCCTCCAAATTTTCGCTGGGAGCGCATAGAAAGACATTCGACAATTCTTGTCGATTGTGAGGGTGATTCGCTGTCGGCGTCGCCGCGTCGTTATCCAATTGTGACTCAAGGTCGCGCGCCCAACACCGGCCACTGCCGCCAACCCAGCCGTCGCGGCCATCCTGTAGGCGCAATGCAGGGGCAACGCTCGGGAGGGAAAGGGGTCAGGGGCCGACGTTGCGAGGTCGGGTGGAGGTTCGACGTTTCTTTGGCCTTCTGAGTAGTCCTCGGAGGTTTTCCAGCCTCGTTGTGCCTTCACTTCAGCAGCTGCCTCGCCGAGAGTGTTCTGGGGGTGCCCGGTTCGTCTCCATCGGAGGCTGGGGTCCCGAGCGATGTTTCGGACGCCAGTGGGGACGGGGATCGGGTCAGGGGGGTGCGTCGACTTCAACTCGCCCAGTGATCGCCGAAAGGTTTTGGTAGCCCAGCCCGCGGGGGATTCGCTACCCAGGGCCCATCGCCCAATTTATCGGCGATGTGTCGCCGATTCCAGCTCAATGCTCCCCCCCTTGAGACGGCTTCCTTACGGTCCCCCTCAATCGTTTCTGCTCCAGTGGGGGTGCATCGGATCGAAGTCTGGGCCATCGAGGGGTTATGGGTGCGGGTCGAAGGGATCGAATCATCTGGGATGTTGTTTCTCTTCTTCTGGGCCTTCGTGTCGGCGCGGCGTGATCCGCCTTGGAGTTCTGATCCGTCCCAGGGCGGGAATACAAACAACATTGATCCCCCGTAGGTTTTCGAAGGATTGGGCTTTTCCAAGAGTGATAGCTTAGGAGGAGGAGGAGGAGGAGGAGGAGGCCACCGCGGATCTTGTGCTGTGAGAGCCAATGGGAGGACATTGTTGCAGCCATTTTGAGTGCCTGGGGGGCCACCATTGGGGGGCACGGTGTGGTGACGTCTCTGAGTTATAGTCGAGCTTTCAATATTTGTTTTGTTCAGCAATCGTTGCTTCACCCCTAACGTACCAGGTTCGCCCTGAAGCGCTGCAGTGGCTGACGGATGTATGAAGCAGGCAAGAGCAGCGGCAACAGAGAGAGGGATAGGAGAGCGAGAAGGACGGCAGTGACGCTAAGCTTTGTGTTGGTGTTGGCGCTCATTCGTTCCTCCCACTGGCTTGCACTGCTCGCTGGACTCTGGATGCGGACGAACGCACCAGAGCCAGGCCTCCCGCCGCTGCCGCATATCGCCGAGGCCCCCCGATGGGGGGGGGCCTGGCAGGCCACGATGGGGTGTGGGGGTGTGGGGGCCAAAGTAAGGGGGGGCTACGATGTGGGGCCATGATGGGCCGCCGACACTTCGGGGGCCAGCTGCCGTGTTTTAGATCAAACATCAAACATATGGGACCCTTACAAGCGACATTCTCCAAGCAGTGTTTGCCCGTAGGGGTGCTTGATTGTCGAGGTTTCGCCGCGTCGCCGCCCATTGCCGATTCCTTACCGCCCCGTTGCCGCCCAAATAGGTCCCCGTCGCCCGCTGCCCGCTGCCGCCCACCTAGCTTGCATTACGTAGCTTGCACCACATAGCACGCACCACACAGCTTGCACCAGGACCTACACAGGATGCATCACACAGCGCACGCATCCACAGTGCGAAAAACTTACTGCGTGGGTTCCTCGCTGAGCAGCACTGTAGGGACAACCTTCGCTGACCCTCTCCGAGCCGCTGCCGCCCACCGCCGAGGCCCCCGACGGCCGCCCCCGACGCCTCGGGCCTCTTCGGCAGACACGAGACAGGCGGGCGGCCGCCTGTGCCGCCCTGGGCCCGGCCCCGGCCGTGCCGCTTCCGCTTCGGCCCAGGAGGAGGAGGAGGACCTCCCCTCCCCTTTCCTCTCTGCCTGCCCTCGGCCTCCCCGTTCTGCTCCCCTCTGCTTCCCTTCGGCCTCCCCCTTCTGCTCCCGCTCGGTGGGACGGGGTCCCCTGTGGTGACTCGTTCTGATTGTGCCATCTTGCCGTCCTTTGTTCTTCTTCTCCCCCTTTTCCTCCCCCTCTGCGTGCTGCTCCTCGCCGATCCTCCTCCTCATTATGCCTCCTTCTCCTCCTCTTCCTCCTCCTCCTCCGCATCAGCATCATGCTGATGTTGCATGTGTTGCTTTTGCGCACCTCCGTTGTTATGTGTGCAGCCTCTCTTGCTCGCCTCCGCGCCCTACCCCAGCCGCGCCTTCCTCCCTCGACTCACCATTTCTCTTCCTGTTCTACGCCTTCACTCCTCACTTCTCACTCCTGCTACTCCTACTCCTCGAACTCCTCAATGTGTAGTGTCGTTGCCTTTCTGTTGCTCGAATTGTTAGTGCAGTTTCATTCGTCTGCTCTGCATTGTCTGTATTGCGTATACCATTGTACTGCGTATACCATTGTGTTGATTGGGGCTCCAGCCTTGGGGACTCTGCTTGCCACAGTATCGTAATTGGGTTGGGTCAGCTATTTTGTTCCACGTTTCTTGTGGCTGAGTGTGTGTGTGTTTCCTTGAACTCTTGTCCCTCGCCCTTCCTTACTCATCCCCTACGCATCCTCTCCTCCCTCCATCCTCGACCGCAAGATCAGTCCAGTCCTTGTCTTACCGTTGCTTTTTCCGTCCATTATTTTTTAATTATTCCTGCCTCCCTTCACTTTTCAGCTCGCTTCCTCCTCTTCCTCCTCCTCCTCTCCCTCCTGCTCACTCCTGCTCCTGCTCCTCCTATTGAAGTGGCTTACGCCATTCCGCCGACCCCCACAAGGTGTGAGTGTTTGAGACGATCGTGGAAGTTACATCTTTGGTCAGGAGCCTCCTGGATGAATCTGCGGGTCTCTTGGGATGCCTCTTCTGGGGCCTCGTGGAGAACTGTTGGGGGCATGGGGGAGGCTTTTTGATGCCTTTTTGGCTTTTTGGCAGGGGTCGGGCATGTTTGCGCAGATGTTTATAGAATCCCTGCCCATGGAGCCGGAGCCGGCGACCAGTGGTTGTGCCTTGCTCTTCGCCTTGTCGACGCGGGCGTGCTGTTGTACATGCACTCGCGCATGCGATCTGCAACCGATGTGCCGGCTGGGCACGGTTCACTTGGCTTGTTGGGCCCCCTTGGGGGGCTGCTTGGGGGCGACTTGCGTCTTGGAAGCATTTTTGGGCCTCTTCGATGGCCCTCGGGGGCCTCTGGGAGGCTCGAGGGGCCATCTTGGTGGGAAAGGATCGACATGTCAGCTCGTATTCCCCCTCTTGGACTCTCTTGGAGCCCTCTTGGGGCCCTCCAGGGGCTGTCGTCTTTGTGGGCCCCTGGGGTCTGTATTTGGACCCTCTTGGGCCGTCTTGGGGCCTTCTTGGAGGCATCATGGGCCGGAATGGGATATTTTCCAATGGGAATGGGATGATTTTGGCTTCGTGGGGCCCTCCAGGTGATCCTCTGGAGGCACTTTTGGGCTGTCTTGAGAGCCTTGTGGCCCATCTTGAAGCCATCCTGAATCGTCGTGGGGCTGCCCTGGGCCGTCATGAAGCTCTCTTCGAGTGTCTTGGTGCTCTGTTGGGGCCCTGTTGGACTGTCTTGGGGCATTTTGGGGCTCCGGAGGCCCCAGGGGTGCGTTGACGAGCTCGTGCCCCCCCCGAAAATGAGACAACTTTGAATCAACGAGTTCGGTGCCAATCCCCACCAACTGGTACCAGGTCCAGCCGCTTTGGGAGCTCCAGGTTCCGTAGAGGTGACCGTAGACGTTCCTTCCAGATCCTTCCAGAATCCTAAGGTATTCCTCGCGATTCCTGAAGATCCCCTAAGGATTCTTCAGGAATTCGGATCCCTGGGAAACTCTGGAGAAGATCCTTGGGAAGTCCTAAGGATGCTGGATGGTTTCGGGATGGAGTCTTGATGTTTTCTTGATGGGTGTCTATTTAAAACAGATCAGAGGGCCAGGATATAGCGAGCATCCCGCTGGCGTCTAGCTCAAGGCGCCGGCGTCCTATATACTTGGGCCGCCAGTGTTACCTGCGGCCCACTATCGCATCACAAACAGGAGCCGCTCAATCCTCTGGAAGATGCACCATCTTACTTCTTACATCCAACCTACCATCCCATGGCCTTCATCATGTTATCTACTAGGTAGCGGAGCTAGCCTCATTAAGATATGGCCAGCTCTGCCTCTCGCGATGATATCCCACTGGACGATTTGGTATGCCGCCACTACCATTGCGACGTCAGACCATGACTATTGGCTAGCAGGTGGAAGCGCCGATAGCGGGAACGCTATGTCCCTCATGGGCGGTGTCCGCCTGACTACCCCGACACGCGTAGATGCTGCGCCTGTACCCCACTACATTCCGAACGACAGCGAACTTGGGAAGAAGGTAGCGTGCCAACTCCCTGTGCGCGGGAGCGCAGATCCCAAATTTTCAAGCCAGCATGGGGGCACGCCGAATGTCTCCACAGCCGATTCGCCGACCCACGACTCACAATCGACTCGTGCCTGCGGAAGCACCGGGGGGGGGGGGGGGGCCGGACCCGTGGGGGGTGAAGCTGGGGGCCGCGCGGATTTCTTTCCGCTGCCGCCGCCGAGTCGCTCGACGTCGCTTGCTTTCCAGCGGGCGCGGGGTTTTCCGGGCCCCGGAGGACGACGCTTTCAACGGGGGCGGTTCGTGCTTTGGACGGTTCGGGGGGCCCCCGAACCCATGGGGAGGGACAGGGTGGCCGAACGTGTCGCCTTGTCCCCTGCCGCCGCAGCCGAGTCGCGCGGCCCCCGCATCCGCGCGCGCCGCCGCCGAGTCGTTCGGCCCCATTTTTTTGTTGAGTGCTCGTATAAGCAAAGGCGCAACTCGCGAAAGCGAACGGGAGGCCGCGATCAACGCATTCCATTTAGAAGTCGCGTTGACAGCGCATCGAAGGTTTAACGCGTCGGCAGAACTCTGCGGCCAGCGCATCCCCCATCGCAGCCCGAGCGCAAAGCGAATGGGACATTGCAGAAATTGGCAGGAGGCTGGATTCAGCGAGTTTCCCATCGCACGTGCATTTTTGGAACGCGCGCGCTCTCATAAAATTCTGATGGGTGCCATTCTCGCAGTTCGTTGTTGCCACTTGTGTGCGCGACGCTCGCCTCCTGGTTTCGGTGAGCTGTGCGCAGCCAGGTTCTCGAGCGCCGGCCGCGCAGCTCCTTTGAATGTTGGCGACCATAGTTTAGCTTCAACAAAACGCAAAGCCCCGATGACAGAACGTAAGTTAGCAACACTTCTGCTGTGTCACGAGTAGCGTTTATTATTAAGACGTGCATTTAGTTGCCGAATCAATTTGCAATGCTTCGCATGCAGAATGTTAATGTCGGCTCAACAAGGCAGGTTGTGATTGGTGCCATTTGCGTTTTGGCCGGTTGAAAATTCGCCCAGTCGCTTGTGATTGGCGCCAGTGGGCGGGGGCGGCCCAGCGCGCCCCCTTTCCCCGCCCCCCCCCGTTAGGGGCCCCGCCAGAAAAAGGAAAAGGGGGGGCAACCAAATGTCTCGCGCGCCTTTTCGCCCCCGGCAAGCTGGGGTCGGCAGGGCCCGCCCCCCCCACGTCGCCCGTCTTCTTTTTTTTTGGTGCGTCCTCATTCCTTTCCGCATTATCACCCTCCTCGTTTCAAGCGGCGCTCTGCCCCTGGGTCCGATGGCGCGCCCCGCGGATGCTGGGCGGCCCCTGGGGCGGCCGGCATTCGGTTCGGCGTTTGCGAGGCTGTTTGCGACAGCGAAGGCGTTGATCTCCCCGAGGTGCGAAGGATCGGCCGCTGGGTTCCCCGGCCCGAGGGGGCGAGGGCCGACGGGGCAGGGTGTCTTTGTTTCCTGGCTCTCTGCGCCCGCCCGCCCCGTCTCCTTTTACCAGCGCGGGCGCGTGGATCCACCTCGGGCGCGCCCCGTTTTGGAACCGAGGCGCATCTGAAGTTCGAGTTGGCCGAGCGCCCCGCGCGCCGCGGTTGCGGCGAGCTCTGGGCGAGTTGCGCGCCCAGGCAACTCGAGGCGAAGCTCCCAGATTGCAAGTTCGGTCCAATCTCGGATGCCAGGGGCAACGCGATCCACAACTCAGCGGAGCACAGTTCAGCGTCGCGCAGCATGATGCATGTATTTTTAGCGCGACAGCGCACGGCATAGCCACTGGCACGGCGCGCCATCGTTGTCTATCGCTTCAACATGTTAAACGTAGCTTCTTGTTGCCCATCAAGGTATCTTGGTGGCGCCTCCAGACCTCGCATTTGTTTTAAACTGTTTGCCCCGTTGTTTCGTTTCCCCGGGCTCCGGGGTCAATCATGTCAGCCATCTTGGCCGATGCGTTTCTGTCTTGTTCGACCACCTCGGGGCCCGACGAGCTCGTCGGCGCCCGCCAGGGCGAGGCGGCCAACGGCAATCCAACGACAAAAACAACGCACGCTCTTGCTCATGACTTGGGTCTTCCTGGGCCCCCCCGGCAAGCCCGAGCCACGCTGCGCCATTGGCTTGGCGAAATTTCGGGGCCGGCATGGGGCCCAGCGCCCGCGGCCCCGCGCTGATTGAGGGTTTTGGAGACGCTCGGGGGGCCGCGGGGCGCCGGGCGCACGCGCGGGCCCCGGGTGCGCCCTCGCGCGCGCGGGCCCGGCAGGAACTCCACTTCATTGTTGAATATTGCCTGCTTGGATTATGTGGCCGCTGCTCGTTAAAATTTAGTCTAGGCGCGCGACTCCGGAATCGCCCCCGAAAACCATCGAGCGGCCTTCCGCGGACACTTCACCAATAATTCAGAAACCGCCCGCGAATAATTGGAAGCCCCTCGGCCGCGCGCCCCGATTCGCATTCGGCGGGGGGAGGGGGGCGGGGGGGGGTGGGCGGCGGGGGGGGGCGCGAGGCCACTAGGTGCTTGTTCAATGAGATGAAAGAGCGCGGGAAGCAGCGATCAGGCATCGGCCATGACAGATGCGGAAGGGCGGGGGCGGGGGGCGCACGAGCGAACAAGTGGCGGACATGGGGGGATGGGGGGGGGGGATGGAGGAGGCAGCGGGGGCGCGTCGCCCGGGGTAGACGGGCCGCGGGGGGCAGGTCGAACGGGGCATGGGTTGATAGACGGGGAACTGGGCGACGACGAGGGGCGAGAAGGATGGGGGGGCGACGAAGGGCAGGAAGATGTCGCGATGAGATGACGGGCGGATATTCATAGCAATGGCATTGCGCGGCGCGAGGATGGCGAGAAGGAGGGCAATGATTAGGGCCTTTCTTGTGCCTCCTCCTCACGTTCGGCACCCCGCCCATTATCCTCGCCCTTCTCGCCGGCCCGTGCCCCGCGTTACACTTCCTCCTTCTCGCCGTGCGGATCCTCTCCTCGCTCCATTTCCTCGCCCCCCCTCGCCGCGCCGTTTCTCCCAGTCGCCCTCCCCCCCCGCTCTTCGCCGACAACTTTCATTTTCGTCTTTCCCCTTGATTCTCCGCCATTTCCTTAGCGCCCGCTTCGTTTCTCCGCGGGTTCCTTATGCAAGAGCCATCCAGACACATTTCTTCCGCGTTCGCCCCCCCTCGTCCGCCGCCGTTTCTTTCTTCTCCTTTGCGCCCGGTGCCTTCTGTTCGCTCGTGCCTCCGCGCTTCCTCGCGTTCCCCTGCCGTCTGTTTTGCCGCTTCCTCCGCCTTGCCCCGTTCTCGCCCCTTCTTTCGATCCTCGCCCCCTTTCATCGCGCCACGGAGCCTCTCGCGCATGCGCCGCTGCGCCCCGCCGCCCCCGTTCCCGCCGCAAGGCCGCCCACCGCTGTCGTCGGCGACGCCATCATTGGCGCTGCGCGCGCCCCCCCCCCCCCCCCCCCCCGCCCACCCAGGAACGACTCCCGGGCGAGTTGCTTCGAGCAGGGGGCGAGGCAATTCGCCGTGGAACTAAGATGGGCGAGGCCCCGCGCGCGCCATCGCGGAGGAAGGGCGCGGGCGAGGGGCAGGGGCGGGGATGAGGGCGAAGGGGGGGTGGGCGAGCAAGGGCGAGGAGGGGGGGGGGGGGGGCGAGAGGGGGGGGAACGAGCAGGGGGCGCGCGGGGAACGCAGGCGACGGCGACGGCCACGAGCATGATGACGGCCTAGACGACGTAGGAGATTTCATTTTGCGGGCGGCCCCGGGTGCTCTCATGGGCCGTCCTGGGGGCCCCATTAGGCCGACCTTGGCGTCATCTAAATGGAGCAGTGTCGCCGCGTCGAGCTTCGGGGCGCTTATCGGGGGCAAGGGGTCGAAGCTCCACCAAACCATTGGTTCCTGTTTGTTCTGGAAGGGCGTTCGCCTCTCGGCGGTTCCGCCGGGCGCGGGCGGGGGGGCGGGGGGGTGCGCGGCCGCGCCGGGGAGCGTTTAACATGAATTTGGGTTCGTTTGTGGCGCATTGGGCACGCTTCGGAATCTTCGTGCATCCACGAGGCCTTCGCCCTCTGCCGCCGGCCCCCTCCCCATCATAACTGGACATGTCATAGCTGTTTTGGGATGTTTGGGCGCCGATTGAAGACGTCTGCGATCGTCGCGCGAAGACGGCTAGCAATGAACAAGACGCGCTGAGATGTTGGAGCTGTTGCCGAAGGGTCCATTTTCTTCCCAGAGCGTTTCCCGCTTCTTGTGTATTGGGCGCCCTCTCGGAACACTTGAGGTTGCATGATGCCATCTAGAGGTGTGGCGACGCGTGGCGTTATTCTCGAAGATCTGCGGCTGCGGGCGCAGCGCGGAATTCGGGAGACAGCGGGGGGGTCGAAAAGCGCACCCCGAAACACGTTTCAAATGTGAAAAAATGTTTTTTTGATCCGGAGAAGGGGCGTCGCTTGAGGGCAGCCTCCTGGGGCTGGGCGCGTAGCTTCGGAAGGGTAAATTTGGTGTAAGTTACAAGGTGGTGGCGCATCGTGGCCTCGGCGTCGCGGATTCGGCTTTTTGTGCAATAGATCGCGGCCTCGGCGGCGCGAAGATGACGCAATTGCCTCGGCGTCGCGAATGCGGTGCAATTCACGAGGGGTCGTGGCCTCGAGGGCGCGAATGTGGCGCAATGTACGAGGGGTCGTGGCCTCGGAGGCGCGAACGTTGCGTAAATTAAAAAGGGTCGTGGCCTCGGGGGCGCGACTGCATGGTAATTTACAAAGTGGCCGTGGCATCGGGGGCGCGAATGTTGTGTGATTAACATGAGATCGTGGTCTCGAGGTCGCGAATATGGCGTAATTAACGAAGGATCGTGGCGTCGAATGCGCGAGCGTGGCGTAATTTACAAGGGATCGTCGCCTCGGAGGAGCGAATGCGAGGTCAATTACGAAGGGCCGTGGCTTCGAAGACGCGAATATTGTGTAATTTTGCAGAGGATCGGGGCCCCGGGGGCGCGAAGACAACATACTTCGCAAAGGATTATAGGTTCGGGGGCGCGACCCCCCCCCCCCCCCCCCCCCCCCCCCTTATTTTCACGCGCACCACGCCCCCCCAGGAATTATGAGATACCTCCTGGGGGGCGCTAACCAGGGCAATTGTTTCGGCCCCCCCTCGCGCGGACAGTAACATATTACAGTAGGAAGCAGAAATCAACATTGTAACATTGGAAACTGGAACCTGGAAAGGGCGCAGGGAACAGCAACCTGAACCCTCGCAGCCCGGTGGCCCCCAAGCGGGCCGGCGGATCTTAAGTGCTTTTGCATGTGATAGTTGGCAACCTGGCTTTCGCGGAAAGGTGCATGGCCATCTGGGGCGATGCATAATCGCTCGCAGGGCGCCCCGTCTCAGCCCGCGGGGGGCGCGCGGGGCCAAGGGCTCTTCGATGCGCGTCGCCCGGCGGCGTTGCCCCCCCCCTCCGCCCCCCGCCCCCCCCGCCCGCCCGCCCCGCAAAGGCCGCCAGAATTAGCCGACTGCGCCCGCAGTGATCCGCCGCGAGCGTCAGAACGCGCCACCCTAAAATGCACCAAACATGGCCCCGCGGGGGCTAAATGAACGGAACTATCAGCAAACGCCTTGGTGAGTGACTCCTGTCGCTCTAGAGGCGGGCGGGCAGGGCATTCCCCGACGGGCAAGGAGGGGGTGTTCGAATGGAAAACTACATGGCGCACCGCGCCCCAACAAAAAGGGCCGGTCATAATATTTCCCAGCCGGCATTCCACCGGGCACCCCCGCCACCCCGCCCCGTCGTAGACAGCCACTTTTGCTCAATGGGGATCGACCCTGCTGCTGCCCAGGGCGGCGGCGAGGGCGAGGGCCCGAACGCTCGGCCCGTCGCGGAGCTGCGCGCGGCGGCTTCTGCGGCGCGCGGGCGCAGGCGGGGGGTCGCCGCAGCCGATCGGCCGCCGCCGCTGCTGCAGCTCGACGCGCCGCAGCCCGACGTGGACTCGATTCTCTGCGCGCCCATCCCCTGCGCGTCGCCCGCCCTGGCGCCGCGCGCGATCCGTGCAGTTGCCGCGCTGGGTTCGCATGCCCCTCTGTTTCGCGGAGGTGGTCCAGCTGATGAGGCCGTGCTCGAGTGGTTGGGGGGGCCCGTCCAAGCGCCGCGGCAAGTCGTCGACGGTCGACGCGAAGGGCGCCCCGAAGCATGATGCCTCGCGGTACCGCGCGGAGTTGGCAACGCCGTCGCGGCGCACATTCCTAGGCTTTCAACAATCCTTGCGCGGGGGTCTGGTGCTGGCCCAGCGCCGCGGCGCGAACGTCGGGCTCATTGGCGCTGCCTACCACAGCGGGTTCGACGAGGCCCTTTTGCATTTTAAGTTGAACGGCGAACCGGCTTCCCAGGCGCAGCGCAGAGCAATGTCACGCTGGGCGCCAGGGAGAAATACTGGCGATGTGGTCGCCAAGGTGTTCCAGACGCAGTCCGAGCGCGGTTGTCTCATTGCTGTTCCGCCGCGCGACGATTCGGATGGGCTTGATCTTCATTGCATCTTGCTCGGGCGCACGCTCCGCGAGTGCCGGTCGTTGAGCAGTTTCCGCGCAGGGGCATTTTGGCTTTTGATCAGCCCGCTGGGATGACTAGGGCGGCGGCGGGGGCACGGGCCCGAACGCTCGGCCCCTCGCGGAGCTGCGCGCGGCGGCACCTGCAGCCTGCGTCGCGCGGGCGCAGGCGGGGGGGCGCTGCGGCCGATCGGCCGCCGCCGCTGCTGCTGCAGCTCGACGCGCCGCAGCCCGACGTGGACTCGATTCTTGGCGCGCCCATTCCCTGCGCGTCGCCCGCCCTGGCGCCGCGCTCGATCCGCGCAGTTGCCGCGCTGAGTTCGCATGCCTCGCTGTTTCGCGAAAGGGGTCCAGCCGATGAGGCCGTGCTCGAGTGGCTGGGGGCCCCCCCGTCCAAGCGCCGCGGCAAGTCGTCGGCGGTCAACGCGAAGGGCGCCCCGAAGCATGATGCCTCGCGGCGCGGCGCGGAGTTGGCAACGCCGTTGCGGCGCACATCCCGAGGCGTTCGACGATCCTTGTGCGGGGGTCTGGCGTCGGTCAGGTGCCGCGGCGCGAACGTCGGGTTCATTGACACTGTCTACCACAGCGGGTTCGACGAGACCATTTTACTCTTGAAGTTGGAAGGCGAGCCAGCTTCCCAGACGCAGCGCAGAGCAATGTCACGCTGGGCGCCAGGGAGAAATACTGGCGATGTGGTCGCCAAGGTGTTCCAGACGCAGTCCGAGCGCGGTTGTCTCATTGTTGTTCCGCCGCGCGACGATTCGGACGGGCTTGATCTTCATTGCATCTTGCTCGGGCGCACGCTCCGCGAGTGCCGGTCGTTGAGCAGTCTCCGCGCAGGGGCATTTTGGCTTTGGATCAGCCCACTGGGATGACTAGGGCGGCGGCGGGGGCACGGGCCCGAACGCTCGGCCCCTCGCGGTGCTGCGCGCGGCGGCACCTGCAGCCTGCGTCGCGCGGGCGCAGGCGGGGGGGCGCTGCGGCCGATCGGCCGCCGCCGCTGCTGCTGCAGCTCGACGCGCCGCAGCCCGACGTGGACTCGATTCTTGGCGCGCGCATTCCCTGCGCGTCGCCCGCCCTGGCGCCGCGCTCGATCCGCGCAGTTGCCGCGCTGAGTTCGCATGCCTCGCTGTTTCGCGAAAGGGGTCCAGCCGATCAGGCCGTGCTCGAGCGGTCGGGGGCCCCCCCGTCCAAGCGCCGCGGCAAGTCGTCGGCGGTCGACGCGACGGGCGCCCCGAAGCACGATGCCTCGCGGCGCGGCGCGGAGTTGGCAGCGCCGTTGCGGCACATATCCCGAGGCGTTCGACGATCCTTGTGCGGGGGTCTGGCGTTGGTCAGGTGCCGCGGCGCGAACGTCAGGTTCATTGACACTGTCTACCACAGCGGGTTCGACGAGACCATTTTACTTTTGAAGTTGGAAGGCGAGCCAGCTTCCCAGACGCAGCGCAGAGCAATGTCACGCTGGGCGCCAGGGAGAAATACTGGCGATGTGGTCGCCAAGGTGTTCCAGACGCAGTCCGAGCGCGGTTGTCTCATCGTTGTTCCGCCGCGTGACGATTCGGATGGGCTTGATCTTCATTGCATCTTGCTCGGGCGCACGCTCCGCGAGTGCCGGTCGTTGAGCAGTTTCCGCGCAGGGGCATTTTGGCTTTGGAGCAGTCCATGGGGATGACTAGGTTGGATATGGCTTTCATGTCCAAGACGCGGGCTTCTTCCAAATACATACATCCGTCCAACAAGTGTGCGGATAAAAGAGTTGGTTCGTCGTCGTGGCACTGGGTGGGGGTGCCTCAGCGCGGATTGCGACAAGCGTCCGAATTCTTCGTGCCACGTTTATTGTAATTATCACGTGGGCGACGCGCTGAACGGGGTGCTGCGCGTGGCCAAGAGTTTTGGCATGCGTGGCGCTTGGGGGATTTCCAGACATGCGTCGCTGATGTTCTGAGATGCCGCATCAAGCTCGTCCACGGCAGCCTCGACAACGATTCGCTCTTGCACAAGCTCATCGCGCGCCGAACTCTGGCGTCGCCAGACGGCGGCGCCGCGATGAGACGCGCGGGTCTGCAGATGGTCCCGCAGTGCGGTTTCAGAGATCGAAAGGATACTCGGATTGTTGTCGACGGCTCTTTTGACCTTGACGACGGGCCCGCAGTCCGCGACGCGGCGAATTACATTGCCAAGGTCGTCGCGACTTGCTTTGCGCATCGTAGGTTTCGGCTTCGCAGCGCGCAGCGGTGGACTGGCGCTGAAGGGGGCGTCTGCGACCCAGCCTCAGTGGGGGTCTGCTGGGGGCTCCTGCGACAGGAATGGAATGATGCGAATGACGTCAATCGATGAACATTGTGAGTGAAGATAACGTTGATAATTGAGACGGATACAATGGATCGTGAATTATTGATAGTGTTGGTAAGCAGATGTGATTTTTTGAGGGCAACTTGAGCATTGGCGCTCTCGATGGATTGCGTCTTCCCCCGATCATCGCAGCCCTGGCCAGCGAGCTCATGGCCAGCGCGAATCGCCATGGCCGTCGGCGACGACTTACATCGGCAGTTCCAGCAGCTACGAGACGATCGCGCTGCCCCCCGCGATCGAGAGGATACGCAGAAGGAACAGGAGCACACCAAGAGCACAAAGACGACTTGCGAATGACTTGACACTACTCGCCCAGAGCCTCTGACGAAGATGCCGGCGCGGAGGATGCGCGCGGCGCCGCAGCTGCTTGAGATGAGGGGGGAGTTTCGCATATCGTCAAACTAATGAGAGCATCAACGACGAGCGGCTGCTGCTCGATCCATCCGCGAAGGCGGCGGCCGCGAGAAGTTGCGCCGAAATTGCCTTATTCTAGTTGCAGCGAAGGGCGCGCTGGAATCTGACATGAAATATGAGGTCCTGCCAGCTGCTCTGCGACGCGCGCATCTGGCCCCCAGCGCCTCGGGCCGACATCGCCAAGCGGACGGGGGCAATTGTTTTCTTCGCGATCAGCTCCGTGGGCGGTTCCACGTACTACTACTACAGGGCGAAGCCTCGCGCGAAATGCCCGCCCCGCACCTTCCTCGGCTTCGAGTCCGAGGCCATGGGGGAGATGCGCGACGACGACAAGCCTTGCATGCGATGCCCACGGTCTGCTATTATATGTGCGGAGGAGGGCGGCGCGTTCGCCGGCGAGGAGGCCAGGTGCCGCCTGTTGTTGCTGGCGCATCTCTCATGCTTCGACTGCGGCCGCTTCGAGGTTGGCAATGCCCACTTGCGCGGGCGAGTCCATGGGCGAGCGCGGGCGCCGAGGATCAGCCCGGGCGACCTGTCCGCGCGCTTCGGCGGCGAGGGCGCCAGGTTCGCGTTCATTGCGCGGTTGATTGTGGACCCTTTGCTATCGCGAAATATCTTGCTCTCGCACCGGCGACCGCCGAAGGCCGCCGAAAACCGCGTCGGGCCGCCGCCCGGGCCGCCGAGGACCGCCGAAAGACAACCGACATTCCCCGAAGATCGCCGAGAGACCGCCGAAGGCCGCCGAAAGACCGTCGAACATCGCCGAAAGACCTCCGACAGACCGACGAAGACCGCCGGAAGACCGCCGCAAGTCGCCGAAGACTGCGTCGGGCCCCCACGCCCGCGGCGGGGCGCGCGCCCGCCGGCGGTATTTGGCGGTCTTTCGGTTGTCTTCAGTGGCCAAGATGCGCGTCGAGGAGCCCGCGATCGCGCGCGTGGCGTTCGGGTGGGAGAGCTCGTCCAGGGCGGGCGCGGCGGGCGATGGCCCCGGGGCGGGCTTCGAGCAGGCCTGGTGGCACGGGCGAGCGGGGGGCGCGTGGCGAGCGCGTCCGAGGGCTGCGGGGTCGAGCGGCTGTAGGCGCATGTCCGAGCAAGGCAGGGCCTTGGCCGAGGAAGATCGCCTGGGGCACATCGCAGACGGCAAAGCAGCGACTACGAGGGGAACCCGGCGAGGCAGTCGGGGCGCCGTTCGGCCCCGGGCGCGAGGTCATGGAGAGAGCGAATCGGAATGGAGTTGCCGCTTTGCGCACTCAGCGCCCGCTGGGTGCTGCGCCCGAGGAGTCGGTCGAGAGCGCGCTGCAGATCGCCGCTCGGGAAGGCGGCGCTCCCCGCGCGCTTCCGAGCGAGGCCGGGGCCTTGCAGCGCTCGCTCAACTTGCGCCGAGCAAGGTCCCGAGCCGATGAGGAGACGCTGAACCAGTTCGATGCTGAGAATACGTCTGCAGCGCGAGTTATCGTGCAGCCCCGCGTCGAGGGGGCGCCCTGGTCGACGAGCGCGTCGGCTGCCGTGCCAGGTGGCTTGGGGTGTGCGGCGCTCAGCGCGCGCGACTGCGAGGTCGCGGAAGCTGCTGTTCACGTGCGACGTTGGGCCGCCAAGGCGCTTTCTGCGAGGAAGTCGAACTTGTTGAAGGACCGCGTTGCTCAATAGCACGGCCTTTCTCAGTCGGTAATTGCATGCCCGCGAGATCATTCCAGGGGCGGCGGCGGCGACCCGCGCCTTGTCAGCGCGTGCTGGGTCGCAGGCGCTTGCGCGCGCGATGTCCGCGGCCGGGGGCTCTGCGCGGCCGGGAACTCGATATCCAGGGCGATGGGGGCTGAGTTCCCCACGGGCGCGGACGAGAGGCGCCATTGGTTGACGCGCGGTCGGATCATCATGAAGTTGACGCTCTTGCCGCGCGGCGCTGATGACTCCGCGCCGGCGGAGCTCGCGCAATTCTTCGCTGCGCAGGGCCCCGACGCCAACGCCGAGATCCCATTGGACAAGAAAATCTCATGGCCTCCGTTGACTGCCGTCGCCCGTGTCTTCGGGCTCGCGTGTCCCGCGTTGATGAATGCCAGCTCTGAGCGCGCGGGAACAAGGCGGGCTGTTTCTATCCCCCCGGGTGGGCGTTCGGATTCCACGCGCCGCGCGAGGCCCGTGGGCCGCGCGAGCCCAGCCGGCCTGATGAACCCCACAAGTCCCGCGAGGGTTTCTTGGGCCTCGCGTGCGCCGCAGCGCGCGCGGGCCCAATGCGCCGCGCTGGCCTAGCGAGCCGCGCGGGCCCATGGGCCCTCTGACTCATCGGCGCCGCATCGGGTCTTTGGGCCCTGCGAGTCCCGCGGGCCATGGGGGCCACATGGGCCCTTGGGGCGCCGCGCGCCCCATGGGGCGCTTTTTTATCATGCAAGCCCCCTGGCCTGCAAATCCGGAGAGCAACGCGAGCCATCTCAAGCTTTCCAGGCTCCATTTGGTCGCCCAGCCCTCACAGGGAAAGCGCCCCCATCTTTTCCAGTGGCGTCTTGGCGCTGTTGCCGGCTTTTCGTTCCCTGCAACATCGAGAAGCCGACGCCGGCAACGGGGCCCCCTTTGGAACGGCGGCCCCACGGGCGAGCTGAACCCCTCGACGATGTCGGAAGTGTGCCAGGGGCCGCGGGCCCGGGTCAAGAGGGGGCCGCCGTCTTTGGCCCCAGACGCGCAGGGCGACCGCCGCCCCCTTTCGCGGGGAGTAGGCCTTATATGGGTCACGAAGCGCGCGGGCTGCGCCGACGTGCGTGGCGGAGGCGCATGCGAACTGCGTCATTGAGACCTTCGGTGGGTATCATTATGGGCAGAGGGACAGTGTGATGCGGTGTGCCGACGTGAATGGCGGCGGCGCGTGCGATTTTCGTAGTTTGGACATTTGGTGGATCTCCATCCTGGGGCAGTGCAAATGCGCGCATGCGGCGCGGCGGGCGGTTGGGGGGGGGGCGAGGGGGGTGGGCGCGTGGCGAAGGCGGATGTGAACCGCCTCGCCGGGGCCTCCGGTGCGGCCCCCTACGGGGGCGCGACGCGCGCGATGAGGTGCGCCGAAATGAATGGCAGTGGCGCGCGCGCCGCTGCGACTTCGGGCGGAGCCGCATATGGGGCCGCGAAACGCTCGAGGGGCGCGCCGACGTGACTGGCGCGGGCGAATGCGAATTGTCGCGCTGCGACCTTCGGAGGGGCTCCCTATTGGGCGTGCGCGGCGGGGTCGCGCGCGAATGGCGCCGCTATGGCTATGGCCTTTGGTGGCGCTCCGTGCGGGACTACGGGGCGCGCGAGAGGTGCCCTGGAGTGGGCGGCGGGCGCGCGCGCGAATTGCGCGAGCGCGACCTTCGGTGGAGCTCCCAATGGTGCCAGGGAGCGCGCGAGGGATGTGTTGCAATTGATGGCGGGGACGCGTGCGAACT